GAAGTGAGGAGGGAGGAAAAGAGGGAAAGAAGGAGATGACAGTAAGATAAGGGAAGATGAAGAGGACCTCACCTTTTGAGATTCAAGGCTCAGTATAAAGTTACAGGCATTAAGATATTTTAGTTCTGATGCAGGGAAGGACAAACAGACAACTGAAATTCAATAAAGATTCTAGAAATAAACCCAGCAGCATGCATAGGAACTCAGTTATATGAAAGAAGTTGCATTTCAAATCAGCAAGGGATTAACTGATTATTCAATGAATACTTAAAAGGGAACAGAGTTATCTACATAATACAAGAGATCTACCTCACTTTATTCCCTAACATAGACCTAAAATGATAAAACTGCTACATGAAAACATGGGGAAGCTTCATGGTATTGGACGTGGAAATGATTTCTTTGATACAACGTGCAGTGTCATAGGCAACAAAAGCAAAAATAAGACAAATTAGTTTATCAAACTTAAAAAAAAACTTCTGTGACTCAAAGAAAATGAACAGAATGAGAAAGCAAGACACAGAATGGGAGGAAATATTTATAAATCATATATCTGATGAAGAGTTAACATCCAAAATTTTTAAAAGTCTTAAAAAAACAACAAAAATAACCTGATTAAAAATGAGCAAAGGACTTGAATAGGTATTTCTCTAAAGATACTATACAAGTGGTTAAAAGCACATGAAAAGATGCTGAATATTACCATAGAAATGCAAGTCAAAAATACAATGAATTATCTATCATTCATTAGGATGGCCACTATGAAAAAGAAATAATAGAAAATGGAATATTATTTAGCCTTAAAAAGGAAGTTCTGGGCCTGGTGGAGTGGCTCAAGCAGCAGAGCACTTGCCTATCAAGCGTGAGGCACTCAGTTCAAACCCCAGTACTACCAAAAAAAGGAAGTCCTGTCACATGCTAAAATATGGATTAATCTTGAAGACAGTAGAATGGTGGTTGCCAGGAGTCGATGGGAGGGAAAGACAAGGAGCTGTATTCCCTGGGCACAGAGCTTCTGTTTTGCACGAAAGAGTTCTACAGACTGTAGAACAACAATATGAACATCATTAACACTAATGAACTGTATAGCTAAAAATTATTAAGATGAAAATTCTTAATGGTTTTTTACCACAGTTAAAAATTAAGGATTCAAAGAATGTAAACCCTAAAGGATTAGTAGATATGCTTATTATTAAAATGTCAAACCTGATAATAGCAAAAAAATATTAAGCAAAGTTAAGTGAAAGATTTGGAAAAGCAACTTACAAAAATATAATTCTGAAGATGAGTGCCTAGAATACTTGAAAGTACTCTGACGAACCAATAATGTAAGAAAAACATAAAACTGTGACAGAGAAACTTTGAAACAACCTAAATGTACCTCAGTAGGTGAATGGATAAATAAACTGGATAACTCATATAAAAGAATATTATGTAGCAGCTAAATAAATGTAGTAATTTCAACTTGGATAAACTTCAAAAATATATCAAGTAAAAAACCAACTTGCAATAGGATATGCCATTCATGTACATTTAAAAAAACACTAGATAATAATATATATATGGATACATGAAGTATAGGTACTAAAGCTAAATTCAACCCACTCACTCTTCACCTGCACGTATGCAGCTACATGTGGTTGGAGAAAAGCACACAACCAGGCTGACCAATTTCATTTTAAATTCATGATTGTGAACCTCAAGTAGGCCTTTAATGGCAAGCAGCAAAACACTTATTTCCCACTTCACCCTCTCATTTTCTTAGTTGGGTATTTTGCATCTTTTCCCTTCTCAAACCTCTAATCTCTCCATCCCCTTCCTTACTCTCCATGGGAAATAGAAGCAACCATAAAAGCTCTTCTTTACGCTCCTACTACTACCCAACTCCCACCTGCTTCTGTGCCCAGTAACTGCCCCTTTCTGTTTCTGATCATGCGGTTCACTGAGGACCACACCCCCTTGTGTTCATGCTACTACCCTCTCAAGGACGGCATTCCAGCAATCTCCCCTTTCTCTCCTGTATCATTACTACGTTTCCTCTCACTTCCAGGAATGTCCCAACTAGTGTATGGCACATGTTATTTCTCTGATCTTAAAGCAAAAAAACCCTCTCTTGGGACAACTTCATCTCCTGCTGTGCTTTCCACCCCATTTCACCTTCTTTTGTACAAAAATAACTGAGTTGTCTAGGATGTGACAGTAAAACTATTCCTATCTTTAAACCAAGACAATGCTCAATCTTCAGTCCTCATCTTACTTGGCTTAACAGAAATTTGACAGTTAATAATTTTCACTCTTGAAACATTTTATCACTTGGCTTTAATACAGCACACTTGCCTGTTTTCTTTCCAGTCCCTTTTTCTCAATCTCCTTTGCTGGCTGCTTCTCCTCCTCTCCTTACTCTATTAATGTTGGAATAGCCTAGAATTCAAATTTGTCCTTTTTTCTTTTCTATCTTTGTATACTCTGTTGGCATTCTCATCCATTTTCACAATTTTAAAAATCACTTATATACAATATTAGAAAATATCAAAATTATATATCCAGACCAGATTTTTCTCCCTAATTCCAGACCCAGATAACCCAATGCCTACTCAACATCTGCTTATAAATCAAATAGGCAACTCAAACTCAACCTGTCTAACTGAATTCTTTACCCACCCAGAACTTGCTCCCCGTAACAGTTGATGACAACCTTATCCTTTCAGCTGTTCTGCCCAAACACCCTGGAACTACCCAAAGAGTAGTTTTCTCATTCCCCATTCCCATTTTATCAAAAAACACCATTAGCTCTCATGTCAGAACATACCTAAAATTCAGCTACTACTTACAATCTACCCTGCCAGGACCATCTCCTGCTGGGATTACTGCAACAGCTTCTTAACTGGACACCACATTTTCAGACTACCACATGTACCAGCTAGAATCATTCTCCCAAAATAGGTTTGATCATGCTACTCTTTTACTCAGAACTCTCTAATGACTCCTATTTTGTGCAGAGAAGACATGGTCCTTACAATGGTCTTTAATGTCCTGTCTGATCTGTACAATCCTTCTTCCAGATCATCACCTCCATGTCCTCATCTCTACTACTCTAACCCTTCCTCATTCTATGCCCACACTGGCCTCCCTGTTCCACAAACATCCCAATTATAATCCTACTGGCTGATTCCTCTAGCTAGAAATCTCTTTCCTAAGATATCTCACCTTCTAACTTTCTTCATGTCTTTCTCAAATGTCGCCTTATTAGTGAGGCATTTTCTGACCACTGATTTCAAAGTACAAAGTTCTCACTGATACTTCCTACCCCTCACCTCCCACTATACTTGTCTCCTTGCAACCTATTACTAACACACTACATACATGTTTTACTTACATACTTGATATTAACTGCCTCTTGGGGTACAGGGGGAATTTTTGTCTATTTGGCTATTAGTTCCCAACACCTAGAAAGAACAGTGCCTGAATCATAGCAGACATTCAATGTGTACTGAATGAGTGGGGAAATGTGCAAAATGTTCATAACTAAAAATGTAAAGTGAGGGCACATATAGTTATATTATTTTTATTATTATTTTATGATATTAAGAAATTTAGAAAATTTAAACATTTATTAATCACATGTAGGTTATCTTATTATTGTAGGACATTTTTTTCTAAATTCGTTATTAATTTTTCATTAACTTCTGTTCATTTCTTTCAGCCCAGAACTCCAACAGTTTTTTCTTCTGTACCTTTAGGTCATATACTGTGGTCATTTCAACACCATATTCTTCTTTAAGACATTTCACACTTATACTGCTATCCAGTTTCTCCAGTAGCTTAACTTTCTGTGCTAAAGATAAATACATATGCTTCCTCTTCTTATTATCACATCAATGAGCATCTGCAGCCCTTTTTGACATTTTCAATAATATCTTTATATCACAGAGCAGAGAATAAGCAAAAAAAAAAAAAGTGAATAACATACCTTGGTCTTGGCCCCAGGTGGGGACACTGACGAGGAGAATCTGTCTTTGGTGTATAGGGCCTGCACACATGCTATTTCATTACCCTCTGTGGGTGGTGGCTTTGTGTGCATGAAAAAGATGTATCAAAGACTGAGAGGGTCTCTTGTCCCTGAGGGACACAGATAAACTGTGTGTTGTGTGCCCGTGCTTGGACTGTGACCTGTCACTAGAGGTCAAGAATGGAATTTTTCACTTGTAGCATAATGTTGGCACTCAAAAAATTATGGTTTTTCAAATTAGGGATGCTCAACCTGTACCAATCTAATAATGATGTGTTTTTATACAACCAAGTCCTTCATTACAAAAATTTTACTATGATTCTGTGTTCTATACCAATAGTTTTCCATATAGAAATAAAGTTGGCACTTGAATTTAGTTATCTTAAAGAATAGTGTAAAATATGACTTTATTACAATTTCTACATAAATAACACTTAATTATAATAAATGGGTAACTTTAAATGTAATTAAAGGTTTTTATAATATTAAACAATTTCTAATTAGTGTGAAAAATGTGAGGCTGTACACCAACTATTATATTTTAGTGCATTTTGAACAAAAACAGCATTATTTATAAATGAGGTTTAGTAGATCTTGGCATTCTTGCCAGATGAATTCTTACTTGTTAATTATAATGTAAATTATAGGTGGTTCTTTATTGGGCACCATCTAAGCCACAATTCTCCGAAAAGGCCAAAAGGGTCAGTTCAAATTTTAGTTATACTTTATACATTTTATGGGAAAGTGAAGGCATAATTTTTTTAACTGGGCAATTCTGATCAAAGATCTACTACAATTCTAACAGAATAGTCTCATGGTAATTTTAAAATAAAAATCTTGATAGTCATTGATACCAAAATGTTCCTTTGAACAAATATGGATGGAATTCCTTAATCCCTATGGTCCTATTAAATGTTTATTCTGTAACTAATTTTTCATCTTTGTTTACATTCTGCTATTACTAACTGCAAATTAAAAAAAAAATACTCACTTCATCAGCCACAAACTCCTTACTCAGACCAAAATCTGTCAGCACCACATGGCCATTAGAGTCAAGTAGAATATTCTCAAGCTTAATGTCACGATATATAATCCCCAACTGTAAAAACAAACAAATATGCATTTTAAAACAATTTCCAAAAAATGAATTAGGACAGTATTTCTTATTTCCCTTTAAAAGAGGCTTTTCCCTCTTCAGGATCCTATGGTTCTTAATAAAATATAAATTCCTGTTGGGTTCCCTGGACCTCTCCAACCATGTCTTCATTCTCTTCGTTCAGCTTCTTTATGGCCTCTCTACTGACTACTGCATCTTCCTGACTCTAGTCTTCTTATCTCACACTCACTCAAGATAATATTCAGTTGTCTTTGTAGCCAATTCTTGTCCATTACTTCCTAATGGCTTCAGAAAACTTTCCTGCATAACCAGATCTCCATGCTGGTCTTTCTACTCTTTTTCTTTCCTTTCCTTTTGCTCTCACTCTCGCTCTTTCTGGATGGCCTTAAACTCATGATCCTCTTACCTCCACTTCTTGGAGTGCTGAGATAATAGGCATGCATCAATAAGCCTACCTCACACAGTATTCCTTTTTTTTTCATCCTATGACACCTAGGTTTATACTGTACTTACCTATAAATGGCAAATATTTTCTAGATATTTCCTATTTGTCTTGATATACTCATACTGTTTTTTACTTTTTATGCCATTGTCAAATAGGCAATTAATAAAGGCTGGTTGACTAAGAGGCTCTTAAACAGAAATGTTAAAGGCCATAGGCTAATTTCAGTTATCTTTAGTTTTAAATAAGCAAAATAACCAATTAAGCAACATTTATACAGTCATTTGTTGCTTAATGACAGGGGTATATTTTGAAAAGTATATTGTTAGGGGATTTTGGGATTGGGCAAGTATCATAGAGTATACTTAAACAAACCTAGATGGTACAGCCAACTATAGACTTAGGCTATGTGGTACATATATAACAGGCTACTCCTATAGCCACAATGAACAAAATAACAAAAGAGTAAATCAAGCACAAGAGAAAATGATTACACAGTAAACATGAGATGTATGGAGCTGCTGCCAGCATAACATGGCATACTGTTTTACAGTATCCCACTTTAGCCCACATTTTAATAAGAAGTACACTCTAAAATAACATAGTACAGTAAATACACAAATCAGAAACAGTCATTTATAATCATTATCGAGTGTTACTGTACTGTACATAATTGTATGAGCCACTCTGATACACGACTGCCACCGTCACCATAAACATAAGTAATGTGCAGCATTATCACAGGTGAGGTGAATTTTTCAGCTGTATTATAATCTATAGTGCCACTGCTGCATACATGGCCCATTGTTGACCAAAATATCATTATGCAGTGCATGACTGTACATCAATTTTGCTTTGTGTGTAAGTTTTACAACAAAACACTTCAACTATATAACATAAATAAATCTACTTAAGCTATATAAGAGGCATTTTATCTGCATGAATTTTCTGCTTCATTTTTTAGTTATGTCAGCCTGGATTAAACATTTTTAAACTTTTAAATATTGCTTTCTTCAACATCAAGTATATGAAAAAAGCATATCCTTAATAATCTCTCAAAATTGAATGAAAATTATACAAAGAAAAACACTAGGAAATTTTCCTCCAAGATCTTCAGTGATTTACAAGAAAGATAGGAAAGAAAACATCTAGTATCTACAGTGAACAGACATTTGACATGAAATATTACAAGCATCTAACAACTGGCAGTACGGTTTTTTAAAACATTTTTTGGAGAAGATTTTTAGGCATAAATTATTTACTAACTATTTTACCTCATCAATTCCAAGTAAATTTCCACTTTTGTTTCTGCCTGTGAAACCCAGCACTAGTACCTATATCAAGATTAATGTTGCTGGCTTTGTGTCATTTGTTTCTCTCTAGGGTAGGAAGATAAAGTTAGCTGAGATCTGATTTGCTCTATCACTATCATTCTATATGAAATACATTTATGTCCAATTCAATATGCTCCCTACTTCTATGTTTCTTACTACTGTTTAGTAATAATGAATAATGTTCATTCTGGTAAATAGAATGAACAGAATTTAAAAACTGCATTTTCTAGCTTACCATTGGAGGTTAGTGTTTTGTTTTTACTCTGGTGTTTATGGTGAATTCCACCGTCATTTTTGTATTATAAAATATTATGTCTAATCATAAATTTCATAGGTCGTTGTGGCCTATTCTGGGGTCCAATTTGTTACTTGTATAAGGACATCTTAACTTCTTTATATCCCACAAAACAATCATATGCATAAAGCTTGTCACCATGTTGAAAATTCTCTCATGAGTAAACGTCTTTCTCACAACTTCAATTTGATTTCCTCCTTTACTATTCCTGTTCTTCCTTTCTTTCTACTGTACTGCAGACTGTCCCCACTGCCTCTTCCCTCTTCTCTAGCCCTTCTGTTTCTCATATAGTTTCATTTTTTTTAGACAGGGTCTTTCTATGTAGCCCTGCCAGGTTGAACTTACAATCCTCTTGCCCTCAACTCCAAGAGCTGTGATTACAGGAATGCATTACCATACCTGGCTCATTCACTCTTGTTAAGATTTCTCTTCTGAACCATCTCCCTCCACATGTCCATTCTTATTTCTATTCTAGACTAGGTCTGCTCTTTTCCTGAACGCTACCTTCTCTTCTTGCACTGTCCCAGCATCTTTTCTCACAGTCTCTCCCATCTACTGTCTCCCTCTTTGATTCAACTTCTGACTGAATCTCCCTGCCCCTTTAAAAAGGTCTTCTTCAGACTCTGGTTTCTCTTCAGATCATATAAATCTTTCGCCTTTTAAAAAGGTCTTCTTTATCTTTTCCCTTCAATTCTCTCCTCTTTTTTGTACGCTCTAAAATCAGCACTTAAATTTTTGTGTATCTTAAGCTAGGTTAGGACCTGACTACAGCATAATAAAGAAGAGTAGCTTTGTGATATACCCTGTATTGATGAAATTTAGTGACTCAAGACATGTCAATCTCCTATGGTCTCACACACCTGTGGTATAAATTTCTTTAGAACTTTCTTTCTCTGAGGAAAAACACACAAGCCCAGACTACATAAAGACTATTTGCATCTACAATAATGCTTCTTCCTTAAGTTTATTAAATTAGGTTACATTTTATGGATCAAAATTAATGGTGTCTAGCTGGTCACAGTGGCTCAAGCCTGTAATCCTGGCTAGCTAGGCTGACATCAGTGAGGCCAGCCCAGGCCAAAAAAAGTTTGAGATAACATCTCAATCAATAGCAGGGCACAGTGACTTGTGCTCTTATCCTAGCTAAATGGGAGGTTGAGATTGGGAGGACGGAAGCACCAGGTCAGCCTGGGCAAAAATGTTGCTGAGACCCCATTCCAATGGAAAAAAAAAAAAAACTGGGCATGGCGGTACATGCCTGTCATCCCAGGTACAGTGGAAATCATAAACTAGGGGGATCACAGTACAGGGCAGCCTGGGCAAAAAGTGAAACCCTATCTCAAAAATCACCAGAGAAAAGAGCTTGAGGTAGGGCTCAAGAAGTAGAGCACCTGCCTAGCAAGTACCAAAACCCAGTGCTGCCAAAAATCAATTAATGGCACCTGCAATAATATAAAAAGAAGCTTAAAATGATTTGTTTAGCATTTCAACAGGGTCATAGACATGACTTCCCTGTAAAGGTTTTAGTAACTGAGTTCATAGCACATGGAGGTAATGGAGGAGAAGCACGGGCTGGGGCAGAAGAAAGCCAGAATGAAGAGCAAGAAACAAGGCTCCTGCTCCAACCTAATCCAGAAATACACTTGATGAGACACAGGCAGAGTAAGAATCATAGAGTAAGTCACAGTTAAGGAAATACAAATTATGCCTTGTGGCTTAGTTTTATAGATCATTTTAAGAATTAAAAGTTTTGCACATATGAATAAAAAAAGAATTAAAAGCTTTTATTCTAATGGTAATTTATAATAAAGCCTTAAAATTTTTCATGAAGAATGAAAAAAAAAAAAAAAAAACCTGCCCAGATTGTATCATTTTGACCTGCATCACAGTAACTACAATGGGAAAGAAGATTTTTAAAAAGGGAACGATGAAACTGAGAAAACTGGTAGCATTCACAAACTCCACCACAAAAGTGACATGTGAAAACATTGGCTTGTTGAGCTCCGTCAGTATCTCAGTTAAAAGACTGTCCAAAAGGAAACTCCAAAGATAAAGCGTCTTACCTTGTGCAGGTGTTCCAGGGCAAGCACAATCTCTCCCACATAGATCTGCACCTCCTGCTCTGTGAAACGCTCTCTTTGAGAAAGATGAGTAAAAAGTTCTCCACCATTTATATAATCTAAAAATGAAATATATTTTTTCTTTCTTTGACTTGTATTCATAAATGAAAGGAAGTATCTCCTTTAATCACTTTGGATTAACCAAAAGGCACTGATTTTAATACACTTTTTGTGTAACTTAGTATAAGGCATATAGTTTCATTTAGAAAATATTAATAGATTTGTATAATAATAGAGTTCCATAAGATAATGATTACCCTAAACCAATAAAATCAATTTGCAGAGTACTACCATCAAAACTTACATAAAATTCACATACATTTAAATACATTTTCTCAAACACAACATATCAGAAAACTGCCATTGCTATACAATAGATACTTTACTGTGGAGTGCAAAACATCAGCTACTATGACAACCAAAACCAAAACAAACACAAAATATGAGCAAAATCCTAACTTGTCATATGTCATGGTTGTCAGTCACTCTCTTTAACATCTGTAAAGCACTATTTTCCAGAATTGTCTATATACATTTCCAAAACTGTATGTTAGTAGCAGCCTTCTTATTGTTCCATATAGCCCCAAAATAAATATAAAAAGGAGCACAAAGTAAAAGACATATAATGTTGCTGAATCAAAGCTCTTAGAAACTAAAAGATTCCTGTTCCCTTTCACTTTGCCCTGTTTAATCTCAAGGGGAATAATGAAACAGGAGACAAAATGGCTCCAGTAAGGAGTAGTAAAGGAGTTGGCTAATTAAAAACAAACCAATTAGGTTGGTAATTGGCTTCAAAAAGGCATTTTAAAAACTGGTAACTGAATGTTCATTATTTTAGGCTAATAATGATATAGATTAATATTAGAAATTGTTCAAACTCATACAGGATAATACACTTTTTTGCAAAAAAATCTTAAACTATAGTTTCACCAGAGACTAACCACTATTACCTTAAGACACATTTGGTGTGAGAAAATAATTTACATCCAGGAAAATCACAAATGTTACTTTAAGCTTTTCTCCTAAAAAATCTGAAAAGTGAGTATCCCAGTATTCACTTGTCAAGTTTACTACAAATTGATAAGAAAAAAGCAAATTCTTCATGAACTCACAAATTTTTATTTTGTATTGCCCATTTAACTTTAAATTCCCAAAGGCAGAGACAATAGAACCAGAGAACTCTAATAGCTAGTTGTTTTGCAATGTATTTTTCAAAGCACATGTTGGAAAAAGCATTTCTTTTCTAAAGCTTCAGTACTTTGCCAATGGATTTTAATTATATCTGAGCACAAAGCTAACTATTAAAAAGGTGTAAAGGAACACAGCATTCCTGTAAACTAACAATGAATTTTTTCTACTGTTAAATAGTTATTTACTTAAACCAAATAGTGGTGCTTAAGCATAAATGGTTTCCATAATCAGTTACAGCACAGAAGCAGACAGCCATATATCAACTGGCAAACTCCTACACTCCCTTGAGAGTTCCATTCAATCATCTCATCTATGGCCACTTCAGCAGACTTGATCACTTCCTCATATGTTATCATCATATTTATTAAAGACCTCTACCAGTGTAATTATCTTGCTGTTCTGCAAATGTTTATTTACATACTTGTTTTCTCTATTAAAATGACTTTTTAAGAATCAGGGTCAAAATATTCACCACAATATACCTAACATAAGTGACTGCATACAGTAATCCCACAAAAGGTGCTTACTGTCTTAATTAATGGAGTAAAAATTCTTTATGTTGGATGTTAAATAGGGTCTCTGAAAACAATCACTGAAACTCAAAGGATAATCCACTGTAAAAAAAAAAATTCAGTGTACTCCTATCTCAGAGGCAATGTGACAGTCAGAAGAATGAGGGCTTTGTAATTGGTGGACCTGAACTAGACAACGGCTCTACTGCTGTCCTGCCTGAGCATATTATCTCTGATCTTCAATTCTTTACCTACTAAGTGGTAATAACTACTTATGGATTATTGTTGCTTAGAACACAAGGAGTGCTTTTTTTCCCATTATACTGAGGAGACCGAGAATTAAATCTAAGGAGATAAACCTACAACATCAAGCAAACTACTTCCTACTTTTGGAAGAAACTGACCTGACAGCACAAGATAAGAACTTGACATTCATAAAAAAATCAGTATTTTTTAAAGGTGTATCTTATGCACTTTACAAGGTGAACAGTGAATTCTATGCAATGGTCCAAGCTGTAACAGTGGTAAAGCAGATACTAACGCTGCCAAGGAACAGAATGTACTGGGCGTGTGATCATGAGGTCAGCGGTAATCAACGGCAGAGACAGAAGAGTCTAGTAGGCATGCCATTTGCTACCTTCAGTCTTTACAGTTCTGTCTGGTACACAGAAGATCTCATTATGGTTTTAATTTGCCACTTTCCTGAATAACAATACTTAGCATCTTTATATGACTTATTGAACACTTCTACATCTTCTGTTGTGAAGTGCCTATTAAAGTACTTTTTGTTGTTCATTTTATGATTTTAATTTTTGAGACAGAATTCACATATCATGAAATTAACACACTTGAAGTACAAAAGCCAGTGGCTTTGACAAGTTGTATGGCCATCACCATAATCACCTGTACATGATTTTCATCATTACCACTCTTCGAAAATTCCAATTTACCTAACTTCTCTTTAGTTGCTTGTGCTTCTGGTGTCATATCTAAGAAACAACTGTCAAATCCAATATCACAAAAATTTTACCCCAATGTGTTCTTTACAGTTTTAGCTCTTACCTTAGTCTTTGATCCATTTTGAGTTAACTTCTGTTTGTGTTGTAAGGTATGGCTCAACTTCATACTTTTGCATCTAGCTATTCAGCTGTCCCAGCACCATTATTTGAAAACACTGTTCTTTCCTCATTTTCACTCTTGCTGAAAAACCAGTTGGCAATGTGAGAATTTCTGCACTTTCTATTCTACTGACCTACAACTACTGTCACACCAGAGCCATGTTTTCTCATTATAGCTTGCAATACATTTTTTTATTTGTTTGAGGATTTGGGGTTTTTGAGACAAGGTCTCACCATATTGCACAGACTGGTCATGAACTCTGGGCCCAAGCCTTCATCCTGACTGTCTTTCAAACAGCTAGGACTACAGATGCACACCACTACGCATAACTTGGAATAAATTGTGAAATCAGGAAGTGTGAGTCTTCTAACTTCACTAGTCCTCCAAAACTGTTTTAGTTATTTTAGGACCCACAGTTCTCTGTATGAATTTTAGAATCACCATGTTAATTTTTTTTCCTTTTTTTATTGTTGTACTGGAGGTACATTGAGGCATTTACAAAAGTTCTTACAATGTATCAAATACATCATAGTTGAATTCACCCCCTCCATCATTCTCCCCCATTTCTGGAATAGTTTCAACTGGTATCACTTTTCCATTCACATATAAGTGTACACAATATTTGCACTTATTCACACTCCTACATCCTCTCCTCACATCCTCCCCGCTCCCGCAGGTACAAACCCCGACACAGGACTTGTTTTGCCTTCTTGTTTTCCATTTTTGAAAAAAAAATAACATTTTTGTTTGTTTAAGATAGCTATACCTTGGTTTCCTGTGACATTTCCATGTATATATGTATTCTAACTCAAATTGGTTCATCTCCTCCATTTTTCTCCTTTTTACCTTTGTCCCTTTCTTATGGTGATTTCAACAGACTTAAAAATTCTATATTCATTCTTATATAGGAAGCACATCAACCATATTTACCTTCTTAATTTTCTTCTTTTACCCTCCCTCTCTCATTTGTGACCTCCCCTTAGAGTGACCTGTTGTTCATAATATTGCTTATATTTGTATTAGGTCTGTAATTCCATGTGAGAAAAAACATACGGACTTTTACTTTCTGAACGTGACTAACTTAAGATGATCTTCTCCAGTTCCAACTATTTACCTGCAAATGACAACATTTTATTTTTATGGCTGAATAAAATTCCATTGTATATATTTTCTTAATCCATTATTCAACAGTAGTGGGGCATGTTGGCTGTTTCATAGCTTAGCTATTGTGAATAATGTGGCTATAAACATGGTTGTACATGTGGCTTTACTATAACATCACATTCCTTCAGGTACATCCTTAGGAGTGGTATTGCTGGATCATATGGCAGTTCTATTTTTAGTTTTTTGAGGAACCTCCATACAGTTTTTCATAGTGGTTGTGCTAATTTACATTCCCACCAACAGCATATGAGGGTTCCTTTTTCCCCACATCCTCACCAACATTTGTTGTTATTTGTGTTCTTGATGATAGCCATTCTAATAGGAGTGAGGTGGAATCAGTGTGGTTTTGATTTGCATTTCCTTTCTGGCTAGGAATGTTGAGCATGTTCACATGTTTTTGGCCATCTGGACTTCTTCCTTTGAAAAAAACCATTCAATTCATTTGCCCATTTCCCCATCGAGTCATTGATTTTGGAGGGGAATTTAGTTTTTTGAGCTCCCTGTATATTCTGGATATTAATTCCTTGCCAGATGTATAACTGGCAAAGATTTTCTCCCATTCTGTGGGAAGCCTCTTCAATTTGGTGACCATTCCTTTTGTTGTGTAGAAGCTTTTTAGTTTCATTTGTCAACTCTTTTTCTTAGTTGCTGAGCCATTTGAGTTCTATTTAGGAAGTCACTGCCTATGCTTATTAATTCCATTGTGTTCCCTGTTCTTTCCTGCACTAGCATCAAAGTTTCAAATCTTATATTAAGGTCCACTTTTAATTGATACTTGTACAGGGTGACAGACATGGATCTATTTTCAATTTCCTCCATGCAGATATCTAGTTTTCCCAGCAATATATGTTGAAGAGACTCTTTTCTTCATCGCATGTTTTTGGTGCCTTTGTCAAAAATCAGGTGGGCATAGGTGCGTGGATTCATATCTGGGTCTTCTATTCTGTTCCACTACTCTTGATGTCTGTTTTTTTTTGTGCCAGTACCATGCTGTTTTTATTGTTATGGCTCTGCAGTATAGTTTGAAGTCACGTATTGTGATACCTCTGGCGTTGTTTTTTGCTTGGTATTGC